GGATGGTGGTCACCTCTCCGAGAGTCGCTCATCCTCTCTTCTTCTCTTTCCTTCCCTGCGCCGCCGGCAGACGACATCCGCATGGGAAGGAGAGTATGTGTCATACGTGATGGTGCGGCGTGGCCAGACGTGCGCGCTTCAAAACGGGCTGTGTGTGTGTGTGTGTGTGTGTGTGTGCGTGTGTGTGTGTGTGTGTGACGACAGGTAAAACTGGGGCAGCTCAGAATAAACGCCGCGCGCCCCGCAGCCTGGCCGTATAGCATCCCGGGCGTGGCGCGGCGCGGCGAGGGGTTGCCGTCCTCCTGTCCCGTCGTCGCCTGCTGGTCGTCCGTCACACCGGTAGCCGCCAGCCGCCGTTGCAGCCGGCCCCTGATGTCCCGTCGCGATGTGTCCCGTCTCTCTCCCTCCCTCTTTCTCCCTCCTTCCCTCTCCCTCCCTCCCTCTCTCTCCCTCTCTCTCACTCTCTGTCTCTCTCGCCGCTCGGAGTGCATTGGGCCCGTCTGGAGTGGCGCGGTGCTATTTAACAGGCCGGGCCCGGGTGATGTGTCGTCATGGAGATGTGGGGTAACAGTTAGTCGCTTCAAATAGAAACCAGTTTGCTCGTACCGTCCCCGTCCCGTCGCGCCTCGCCGGGCCCCGTGCGATCTGTCCCATGGATTAGCACCCAGTACGTGACCTCCAAACAGGATGGGGCGGGGCGCGGCGGGGCGGGGCGCCTCTAAAAGGAGGCAGGGGAGGCGCCTGCAGCAGACCGGCCCAACACACGCTGATGTACTGCACTCTGCAGCTGCAACTCTGGCAGAAACTGGAAGAGGGATTTGAGAAAAGTTCTTCGTTGAGAAGCTGAATAAGTTTACTCAAGTTGGCTCACACGCACGTTGCGTTGCAAGTTCACAAAAGTTGCAAGCTTTGAAAAGATGACAGCTTAAAAAGTCCAGCAGCACCTCTGGAAGAGGGATTTAAGAAAAGTTCTTGGTTAAGAAGTTGCAAGGTCGGACAACTTTAAAGTTCGAAACAACTTGCAAGCTTAGATAAGCTGCAAGCTCAGAAAAATATGCAAGCTTTAAAAAGGCGCTAGCTTGAAAAAGCTACAATCTCAGAGAAAAAGTTACATACCGAGAGAAAAGGTCACAAGGTGCGACACGGAAAACTAAGAAAATTACACTGAGCTGTGTTTTGTTGCAATATGTTCAAGCAGAAGCAATGTAGGTGGGCCGCAATACCCGGTTCTGTGTACTACCCTATACCTCCCCGACAACAGACCGAACCCCCGCACCGCACCGCGACGGAAAATGGACACGCGCTGCTAAATGTTTCGCAATTAACGACGATATCCGTGTGGGGACGTTGGCTGGCGCCTGGCTAGAGGGCCTGGCTAGGGCCTGGCTAGCGCCTCGGCGCCTGCGCCGTGTACAGACGGGGTCAAAAGGCCAGCGCGCCGTGCGCCACACAGGTGGGATGCAGCGGTGCCGTCGCGCCGCCGCCGCCGCTGCTGCCGTTGGGCGTGCGCGGAAATAGCCAGCGGGGTTCTGCTTCTCGGGTCGCACCATGCCTCCCCTTCCCCCCGTCGCTGTTGTCGTCGTCGTCGTCGTCCTCGTCGGCGGCGCCGAGGGAAAACCCCGGTCTGAGCGCCGTGGGGGTAGGCAGTCCCGCACGGCCGCCGAGCGTAACAGGACTGCCTACCCCCCAGGCGCCCCGCTCCACGGCAGCGCACTGCATCTTTAATTTGTCTTTCAAAGTCAGGCGCAGCGTGGTTCGACCTCCGCTTCCTTTTCCCAACTTTTATATTTGTTTGTCGTGAAACTATCAGGAAAAAGTTTGGTGGTCCGGCTGACGCTGCGGCCGAGACGATCGTTCGTAATTCGCCATGCGGCCTCACTAGAAACCCTTGTTTCGCCTCGCTACAAAGGGGCCGGCAGGGAGGGTCGCATGCAGCGCTCGCCGCGGCGCCACCATAAGCTCGAAATATCCTGAACCTAAACCCGCGGACTGACGCCCATGCTGACGCCCCGCCCTCCTCCCCCGCCACGCCACACCAACTGCGCTCCGCCCCCCTGAAAGTGATAAAAAAAAATTATTGTTAACTGCGATACGAACCCATGGTTTAGGAAAAGTGGTCGCCTATTTGTGTTGTATCGAATGTTATTAAGGCGTGTCTTTTTGCGTGATATCTTTGTTCATTAGGGACCTTAAGTTTTAGGTCCCCTAGATTTCCAAAACCTCTTCCCTAGGTCAACCACTAGCGGCATCTTTTAAGAGTAACTAGCAATTTTTGACAGCCGCAGACCCATCCGATGCAGCATAATCGTGCACACCAAGAAGGACTGCATCGTCCCCAGTTGGAGGCGAAGATGGGCATGTACATCACCCAGGAAAGCGTGCTCTTGGCCCAAGAAATGTTCTTGAGGAATCGAGAACATTGGCTTGGGGCAATGCAAATTGCATTTCCCCTAGCCAAATGTTCTCGATTCAAGAACATTTTTTGGGCCAAGAACACGCTTTTCTAGGTGATGTGCGCGCACCGGCGCCAACGGCAAAATTAGCGTCTATCTATGCTTTCAATACACCTTTAGACTTAAATCGATGCGGCGTGTAGTTTTTAAGTGGTGACGAGACATTTTTTGGCGTGTCCGGTTCGGAGGAGCCGACCACTCACACTCACGGTGTTCAGTGTTGGGCTGTTACCCAGATGCGGTCGAAAATGCAAGAGGTGGTGTTGAACCATGACGCTCCTTCTGTCTGGTAGAAACAGGTCCGTTTAAAAAACAATTTCTGCACGGGCTACCAGCAGCAGCAGGTTTACTGTCGTCCCAGCTACAAGAGGCTCCTCGTCAGCCGAGTGGTCTCAGAGATCTCTCGACGTTCTTCTATCGATTCGATTAGACTCGATAGACGGCTACCGGGCTTATCGAGCACCTTGCGCCGCAATCAGTCAGGGTCACCCCGAATCGCGTGAGGCATCTGTGATTTTATTTGTCCGTCTCTTCACTCATTCACCACCGTCAGTTTTTGATTTAATTTATTCTCTTTGTCCGGTCGGGTCGAATTCAAATTTCTTTTCTCATAGTTCAGAGCGCCTTTGCTGATGGAAATCGCCGCGGGTCTGTTGCCCCCCCCCCCTTTCCTCCTCTCCAAACACCTTTTTCAATCCGTCCACCACCCCAGCCGTCGAGTCGTGACGGCATTGTTTTGACTGGCGCGCGAGCAACTATAACGGCCGGGCAATATTTTGAGAGCAAATATGATCTGGACAGTCAGTCAAGTCCGCCTTTCTTCTTCTTCCTCTTCCCCTTTGGGATGGACCGCTTCGTTTATCCCCGCATCCCGACCTCCCCTCATCTCCCCCCCCCCCTTCTC